TAGCTGATAAGATAGTTGCTGGGACATTTTTTTAACTATGAATTAAGTTTCTCTTTCATTGTACCTTTGCTTTCAGGAGCTCCTCCGTTCCTGAGACCTCCTGGCTTACCAGGATTGCGTGGGCCTTTGCCTCGACTGCTGCCACCAGGCCCCCCACCTGGACGACCACCCGGTCCTCCCCCAGGTCCCCCACCAGGTCTGCCCCCTGGTCCTCCTCCACGTGGTCCTCCTCCTCGCCTGCCCCCTCCTGCCCCACCAGGTAAAGTGTTCTGTTTGTTTCCGTGCCAAGTCTCTTGTTTTATTTTCCCAGTTTGGGCTGTGGTGATCAAGCCAGTGAGTATAATTGTTGGCCTTTTAGCCTTTGTTCCTGTCTGTGTGGATGCGTTGTGCTTTGTGCTGTTACACTTTTCTGCGTAATAACAACAAATAAGTGCTGTGTATAGTCTGATAGCAAGAAATCTATCCTCAGAAAGGGAATTTCAGAGTTTAAACTTTTGCTCTGCTGGACTCTCTCTGAATAAGCTCTGTGTGCTATAATGGTTTTCCAATAAATGAGTTGAAGATTGAGATATTTATTTTTTCTACCTGGGTCAGACATTTCTGATGACTCTGAAATTGCAGTGGGATGGATCGTCAAGGAACTTTTATTTTCAGATTATAACTTTGAAATTTGAAAGGGAGCAGTAAACAAGTTCCTATTGCTTTCAGAGTCTGAAGAGCAGCATTTTCAACCCAGCATTTGGTGCAGGGTTGAAAACATTTTTTTTTCTACATTTTTTTTTTTAAGCCAGTGCTACTGCATCTTGTTGGGGGTTGTTTTGTTTTGGGGGGAGGGTTTTGGTTTTTTTGTTGGCATCCTGAGCCTGTGTATTTTTTTTGTGAAATATTTCAAAATTCCCAGGTGTGGAGACGGCTCATGCTTTCTTTTCTCCTTACAGGTATCCCTCCTCCTCGCCCAGGCATGTTGCGGCCACCTCTGGTGCCCCCATTAGGACCTGCCCCACCTGGGCTCTTTCCACCAGCTCCCATTCCAAATCCTGGGGTACTGAGCGCCCCACCCAGCTTGATTCAGCGCCCCAAGGCGGATGACACCAGTGCAGCCACCATCGAGAAGAAAGCCACGGCCACGATCAGTGCCAAGCCGCAAATCACCAACCCCAAGGCAGAGATCACCCGCTTTGTGCCCACTGCCTTGCGAGTGCGCCGGGAGAATAAAGGGGCTTCGGCTGCCTCCCAGAGAAAACAAGATGATGAGCCTGCCCTGCCGTTAACCAAAGCTGCCCCCAAGGCTGGATCGTCTGCCCCTATCTCTGTACAGACAAAGGATGATGTGTATGAAGCCTTCATGAAAGAAATGGAAGGTCTCCTGTGACCTGTCATAGTCCTAGTCAGCTTTCCTGCCCCTCTGGACACGGATCAGATCACTGTGGAGGGAGGAGAAGGGAAAGACCTCCTGCAAGCAATGAAAGGGCTCACATGACAGGGAATAGTTCCCTACCCCCAGGTTAACTTGCCAGTGTGCTGTGAATAGAGACCATTACAGATGGGGTGTGGCTGGGGACCTCCTCTCAGAGCTAGAGCATGTCCACTTGGTGAAAGGAAATCACAGTAAGGAGGGCAATGCTTGCTGCTCCCCTCAAGTCCTCCCCCTTCCTTGGAGGGAGGTAGTGATACTCTGGGGAGGGGAGTGTGGGATAGCGGGGTGACTATGCTCTGCCTGAATCCTTACACACCCTGAATGCTCTGGTGAGGGTAGCGGAACAGGTTTTTAAGGAGCCAGAAAAGTGTTAGCAGCATTTCATACACAAATGGTTGTCCAGTTTTTATTTTCTCTACTGGTTGTTTTTTCTGTAAATATTTTATAATCATGTTTTTTAGTTGCAGTGAGGTTGATGAATCATCTTTCTTCCAGGGTGGTCAGGGAGGTAATTTGTTGCGTATACTGTACACTGGAATTTTGCACCCTATCCCCTTTATGGTCATCTTGATGGATTGTCATCGGCTGGGGAAACTTCATTTTGTCTTGTGAAAGACAATAAATGTTCAGTGTATCAAAATACTGGTTTCCTTGTGATTTGTGTAAAACTAGCTGGCAGGTGGAAAGGAGGGAGGATTCTTGGCTGGCCTTGAGAGACGATAGAGGCATTCTGAACCTCAGGAAAGAGAAACTAACTACACTGTAAATACTACATAATTTTTTTCCCCACTGAACTTCTGCTATATTCTTGTTTTTTAGTTCCTAAACATCCCTTTCAACCTTTAGCTAGTAGCTAAGTAGTTTCTACTAGCTGCTAGCATGTAGAAACTGAAGTGCTGAAGTACTACCAATAATTACAAAATTATTTCCTTTATATACTTATTGGAAGGTTTGCTTCGTATCAAGCCTCAGATAATCACTGGATCCATCAGGGACAGGCTACCATAAGTAAAAATTGGTTAACAATTTTAACGTTGAGATTAACAGATAATTTTACTTTTGGATAATATTAGTATTAAGATACTAGGCTAGCATCTGCCATATTCTCTATGTGGATGAGCCCTTCTCTGTTGGGGTAGAGTGAACACTTGCGTGTTGAAGTACCATCCTCTTCTGGCTGAGGCGAAAGGGTTTGAATTTGCTACATGTTAAATGGGCTCAAAGAGGGGGTTAAATAAGGTAGGTAATCTCCCTCAACTAATAGACCTCTAAGGTGGCTTTGGGGTGTGTGTAGAAAGGGGAGGTGAGATGGGAGTGTGTACTTAGGATAGCACTGGTCATGGACACAAGTAATGTCATCTTTACTCCTTCAAAACAGATGTTCTCAGCTCTGGACTACTGGTAGCATAAGCCCAGGCTACCCCTTTTTTTTTTTTTTTAATTGTGGTCATACAGGGTTTGGGGTTCTTCTCTGTGATACCACCTCCATCACATTTTTCATCTGTAGCTCTGAGTAGCGTTCACAGAATAAGAAATGATCATGGGGAGGAAATGGGCTGGGAAGGGGCTGAGACACCAAGAAGCGATGTGACTTATCCAATACACCACTGAAGGTTAGTGACGGCGTAAAGATGGAACTAGAAAACAATGCCTGAGGTGAATTAATTCATCGTAATCCATTGAATCATCATTAGGCAGAGATTCATCCTAAATGTTACTGAATCCTCAGGACAGGGACCTGGATTTAGTTATCTAGAAATAAACAAATAGTGACAGTAGTTCGTGTGTGCAACGAACTTCTTTTTATTTTGCCTTGTTTGTAATCCTGCTGCAACTGGCAAGCCCTGTACAGTTTAGATCAGAATTCCTGTTATTATACCCTTCTGGAAAAAAAGGATGTGCTTCTCTCTTGATCTCTGAGTTGCAGAGTTTTGATGCAATCTTTTGGGGGTTTAGTGGTTTTGTTTGTTTTTATTGTTGTGGGGGTTTGTTGGAGTTTGGGGTTTTGGTTGTTTGGTTTTGGTGGGGGTTTTCTTTTGTTGTTTGGGGTTTTTTTTGAAAGTCTATCTTGGATAGCCTGGTGGAAGTCATGTCTCGGTCCTTGCCTGAACTATTAAATGGTAGCACCCAGGGTAAGTAGCACAGTCCTGCATGCACACTACCCCACTGTAACGTTATGATACCCATATCATAGGATCTGTTGTGCATTAAAAAGTAAACCCATGATTTAGAATGCATAAGCATCAAGGAGTGAAAATGGGAACAACATAAAAAATCATAAGTAACTGGAATTTATGGAAACAAGAAAGCAGAATCCCATGCTATGGGGGAAATGGAGGAAGAGCCTGTAGTACAACACTGGTGTAATAGAAGGATGTGGCTAAGTCCAGGGTGCAGGATCCTTCATTATCTGCCCTTGCTGAAAATGTATGGAAGAAGAGAAAAATATGCCAAAAAATAAGGAGAAACCACGGGCAATTACTAAATCAACACAAATCTCTTTATCTGTAAGACAGGGCTAGGTCACACCAGGCAAACATCCTGAATGTTCAGGAAATCACTTCAGCTTCCAGGTGCAGTGAGCTATTCTACATTTTGAGTAATAGTGTAACAGCCTGACTTCTAATGTTCTTCAAAAATACCTTGTAATTAATACCTTATTGTGGCCGATTTTAGGAGCTCTCTAAACACAGACACAGAGCCTAGTTTAGAAAACAGACTTTGTTTATTCTGCACAGGGTACAAGGTAGAGGTTCTCACAAATCAAGCACACCAAGCAGTAAAAGTATCTTTCATACAGTAAAATTTACATGAACCCGCCTATCTAATAAATATTCTCCTCCCACCTAATACATATTTAAATATTATATGATGCAATCTTACGCAACGCTTGAAACACAAAGTTTTATTAAGCAACTTGTATTGTAGAAGTTATTTGACGACATCAGCTACGTTTACAGGGGTTAAAGGTTGAGAAGACAGCCTGAGACAGACACATAATTCAGCTTGAAAACCAATACTAGTTTGATTACAGAAATATTGGAGTAGTTAATCCGTCTCTAATATCAGAGTAACCTCCCGCACGACCTGTTGTGTCTTCACATATCGGTAGCGCTGGGTTGCAGCTGTTCCTCCTGAAACGAAAGTTTCTCTTTTACAGTAACAATAACGAATTTTTAAGGTAGCCCTGTAGTGGCACTTCTGAGGTTTAGAACACAGGACTGTTTCTAAAACGACGGTGACGGCTTTAGTGGAGTTCCCCCCTTTTCCGGGACGGGGCTGCGCGCCTCTGCTCTCCGGGGGCAGGCGCGGGCACGCTTCCCGGGAGGCGGGCTCACGGCGGGCTCACGGCCCGCTCACGGCGCGCTCGGTGCCAGCGGAGGTTCGGCCCGGCCCGGCCCGGGGGCGGCTCGGCCGCCGGCGGCTCCCATTGGGTGGATTTGGATCCGCGGCGCCATTGGCCGGAGCGAGCGAGAGCGCGGCGCAGCCAATCGGCGAGCAGAGCGGGGCGCGCGGGGAAGCTATAAGAGGGGCCGCGCGCGAGGCGCGGCGACACGTGACTCGTGCCTGTGAGCGGAGGAGGCGGTGCCGGAGCAGCGTCGGGAGCGATGTCCGGGCGCGGGAAGCAGGGCGGGAAGGCGCGGGCCAAGGCCAAGTCGCGCTCGTCGCGGGCCGGGCTGCAGTTCCCCGTGGGCCGCGTGCACCGCCTGCTGCGCAAGGGCAACTACGCCGAGCGGGTGGGCGCCGGCGCGCCCGTGTACCTGGCGGCCGTGCTGGAGTACCTGACGGCCGAGATCCTGGAGCTGGCGGGCAACGCGGCCCGCGACAACAAGAAGACGCGCATCATCCCCCGCCACCTGCAGCTCGCCATCCGCAACGACGAGGAGCTCAACAAGCTGCTGGGCAAGGTGACGATCGCGCAGGGCGGCGTGCTGCCCAACATCCAGGCCGTGCTGCTGCCCAAGAAGACCGACAGCCACAAGGCCAAAAGCAAGTGAAACAAAGCTGAGGAGCGTTTCCACCTCAAAAGTAACCCAAAGGCTCTTTTCAGAGCCACCCACTTTTTCATTAAAGGAGCTGTACATCCTAGTAAAAGCAAAACAAAAAAACTCAAACCTCAAGCAGCCCCCACAAAGCCTAAAACAGCCAAATCCAAATCAAAAAATCCCCTGCAAGCGCTTTATCTTTGCTCTTGAAAACGACATTAAATAAAAATATTAGTAATATGTTAACTGCTGCTAGATACATGCTAAAAACAGATTTAATGTGAAAGGAATCACTTTTCTCGGGGGGGCAGGGAGGTGGTGAAAGAGGCAAAGTTTACTAATACTGTATGAAAAGAACCCACAACTCTATCAGGCCTCTTTTTTTCAGCTCATCCCTATGTGAAGCTCAGGTAACTCAGTCTTGAAAAACAACTCCGCCCTTCTAAACAATCTTCAAACCTGCAGACGCTTACTGGTTTCGTTTTCTGTGGTTTTTGTTTGTTTGTTTGTTTGTTTGTTTTGTTTTATTTTTGTTTGTTTTGGTTTTGTTTTGGTTTTGTTTGTTTTTTTTTGTTTGTGTTGTTTTTTAATCAATGGGCATTCTGAATTATCAATTTTCAATTATTTTGTTTTTTTAAGAAAAAGTCCTTGATCTGAGACCATTTTCTGCCTCAAATTTGAAAGTTTGGGAATAACTGGTAATCACACTGGACAGGCAGTCTGAGGTGAAAAGGACTGTTACCACTTTTGATTCCACCTTATACATGGTGCTGAACATTGCCATAATTATGTTGAAATAGAAAGAGAAAATTTCTCTTATTGGTCAAAAACCATATTTTATAATTAACCATTTGAAAATATAAGTTACTGGAATCGTAAATTCTAGTATCACCAACAGTTACACTAGCAAGTGGTGAGGTAACAAGGAGCTCACAGGCCTTTGGCAAAACAGAGGGTTGTACTCACTAATTAACATATCAGAGAATACTTATTTTAATTCTCTCTACTCTGAAAAACAATATACATTTACTTTTAATTCAAGTGTGGTCTTGGCAAAGTGCAGCTGAAGACTGTCCCCCCCTTCCTAGCAAAGCCAGGTGTTTCAGTAAAGTAGATACACCAGCTGGATAGGCTGTTTTTAATATTACTTCCAATGCACAGGTGAGTCACTGGACAGTAACAAAATGGAATATTTAGGAATCTGCTGTGAAAGAGGAGTCCTAATGGATCACTTGAGCACGTTTTATTGTGTAGAAGTACAGGAAAAATCAGCTGCAGCAGTGTCTCCTTAGATAACCATGACTCAGATTTTCACCAATCAAGCTGCATCAAAATAAAAACACTGATGAATTACCAGGTATTAGGCCACTGATAAGGATTATTAACAAAAACTGGCCGTGATAAGTTCTTATGTCACCTAATTTAATAAGAAATTAAGTAGCAGAGCACGAGAGAACCATGTCTGTATTGTGTACACTGAGCAACACAGTACAAGCTGCTATGCTGTAAAAAGTCATCTCCTTCTGGGGCACAAACAGCCTTTCGCAGGACTTTAATCTGCTTGTTCCCTTCCTGCATAACGCACTAGTTTAATTTATTTTAATTATTTTGAAAGAGGTGAAGTATTTTGGACAAAGGAGCTAATTTCTAATCCATATTCAGTGCTTAAGATGAGCCTGTGTTACTTCCTCCCCTTTGAAATCAATTTGCGACTAAAATATTGATTCAAATTCCTGATTTTCGGCTCAGATTAAGAGAAGACCCTTTAAAGAATAATAAATAATTACTTTGGAAATTTAGTTCCCCTCGTCGCGGATTTTATTTAGAAGGAAAAACAAAAGTTTCTGTCTCTCGAGGTCTGTCCAGGTCCAGGACTCAGGGTTTATCGCCTCTTTTTTAGCTCACCCGTAGTCTCTTCGAAAGGAAACTTTGCCGAGGGGGAGAAGAGTCTTTCTTTTCCACGCCGCTGCGAACTCGGGGGGGGTCGGTGGCAGAAATTCTGATAAAAACGGGCTTTTTTGGCTCCTAAGAAACACAAAACGAGCGGGGAGAAGGGACCTTTCTGCCGTGCAGCGGGGCGGGCTCTGCAACGCACCAATCACTGCGCGGCTCCGCTCTATAAATAAGAGGCCGCTGAGTTGCTCCAGGCCCAGTGGTTTCCCCTGGATCGTGGACGAGCCTGACGCGATGTCGGAGACCGCGCCTGTTGCCGCTCCCGCGGTCTCTGCTCCCGGCGGCAAGGCCGCCGCCAAGAAGCCGAAGAAGGCGGCGGGCGCTTCCAAAGCCCGCAAGCCCGCGGGGCCCAGCGTCACCGAGCTCATCACCAAGGCCGTGTCCGCCTCCAAGGAGCGCAAGGGGCTCTCCCTCGCCGCGCTCAAGAAGGCGCTGGCCGCCGGCGGCTACGATGTGGAGAAGAACAACAGCCGCATCAAGCTGGGGCTCAAGAGCCTCGTCAGCAAAGGCACCCTGGTGCAGACCAAGGGCACCGGCGCCTCCGGGTCATTCAAGCTGAATAAGAAACCGGGTGAGACAAAAGAAAAGGCAACCAAGAAAAAGCCGGCGGCCAAGCCCAAGAAGCCGGCGGCTAAGAAGCCGGCCAGCGCCGCCAAGAAGCCCAAGAAAGCTGCGGCGGTGAAGAAGAGCCCCAAGAAAGCTAAAAAGCCCGCGGCCGCAGCGGCCAAGAAAGCAGCCAAGAGCCCCAAGAAAGCCGCAAAGCCAGGCCGCCCCAAGAAGGCAGCGAAGAGCCCGGCCAAGGCAAAAGCGGTGAAGCCCAAAGCAGCCAAGCCTAAGGCAGCCAAACCCAAAGCGGCCAAGGCGAAGAAGGCGGCGCCCAAAAAGAAGTGAGGCGACTGAGAAGAAATTAAGAGTCTATATTCATTTAAATAAACCCAAAGGCTCTTTTAAGAGCCACCCACTCACTCTTGAAAAGAGCTGGAACACTATGGTAAATCAGAGCAGCTAAATCTGTGAAGGGTTTAGTCGGAGTTTATACAGAATAAAAGTTTAGGATTTTTGGTACGCGCGCGTTCCGTACAGCCTCCGTGGGAGACCCGGACTTCCTTAAACAGGAAGTGTATCCCTACACTTCGGGGGCCCTGCGATAACAGCGGCGGTCGCTCCGCCCCCTCTTTGTCGCCCGGCGCGCAGCCCCGGTCCGCGAGAGGCGGCGGCCCAGCGAGCGCCCTTCGCTCCGGTGCCCGGGGGGGTTCGAAAGTGGCGCGTTGGGCCGTGATTGGCCCCGCACCGCCCAGCCGGCCCCGCACCGCCTCTCCGGCAGACCCCGCCCCCAGGGGGGTGACCTCCCGCTCCGCCGCCGCTGTTCCCGGCGCTGTCCCCACGCCGGGAGCGAGCGCCGGTCGCTCGGGGACGCGCGGCGCCGCATCAGCCCCGGCTCGTCTCACGGGCTCCTGGGCTGGGGGGTATGGGGAGGGTAACGGACCAGGGATGGGGAAATGTGTATCCCACGGCAGTCTGTGCAAAGCGTCGATCTCGAAGCGCTACGGCGGGGCCGGGAGAGTGGCGGCCCCACATTCTCACCCACCCAGTACCTTGCACATCACTGATGGCGCCCCCGGTTTTTTAATTTTTTTATTTTTTAAAGAACCAAGTCCGTAACTTTGGACATTGTGGTTTTGTTTGAACTGGAAACCCCTTCGTCAAGAAAATCTTTCCTGTTGCCTAATCGAGTACGGAGATCCTTGAATAATAAAACTGCCAGCACTGGCGGGGGCGAGGAGTTAAAGGGAACACACGAGGGAAAAAAAAAAACAAAAAACAAAAACAACAAAACATTAACACGCCAGAAAAATTAGCCACCGAGATAGAAGTAATATTTTAATTTATTGATATCGTGAAAACGCTCGTTAGCTGATAGGGTTTTTCAATAAAAGTAGTTCAAACGCTTAGAAAATTGTAACTTTCACCTACCTTTGCCCGTGGGACTTGCACTTGGAAATATTGCTGTTTTTTAGTCCCATTTAAGTCCAAAATGAATTTTGTCTTACTAAGCTTTACACAAGCAAGTTTACTCTACATACAGAGCATAGACCATTTAAATGGAGCCCCCCTTCCCTTGAAAGATTAGTAGGCACGTTTAAACGTGCTGCAGAAAAAAGTACCTGATTTACCACTTGCGTGCAGCAGAAAATGGTACTACATACCTTCTAATAATAGCAATGATTCAGCCCTTTTATTTGAAAAAATTGGTGGCTCTTAAAAGAGCCTTTGGGTTGAAAGTGACGGTCCGAGACGCCCTACTTGGAGCTGGTGTACTTGGTGACAGCCTTGGTGCCCTCGGACACGGCGTGCTTGGCCAGCTCGCCGGGCAGCAGCAGCCGCACGGCCGTCTGGATCTCCCGCGACGTGATGGTGGAGCGCTTGTTGTAGTGCGCCAGGCGCGACGCCTCGCCGGCGATGCGCTCGAAGATGTCGTTGACGAAGGAGTTCATGATGCCCATGGCCTTGGACGAGATGCCCGTGTCGGGGTGCACCTGCTTCAGCACCTTGTACACGTAGATGGAGTAGCTCTCCTTGCGGCTCTTCTTGCGCTTCTTGTCGCCCTTCTTCTGCGTCTTGGTCACCGCCTTCTTGGAGCCTTTCTTGGGCGCGGGCGCGGACTTGGCGGGCTCAGGCATGATGGCGATCACTCCCTGGCTGCTGTCGCACCGGAGTGCCCGAGAGCGCGATTGCTCCCGCATTTATAGGGGCCTTATGCAAATCCCTGGTATCAGAAATGAGCACTTCCATTGGACAGCGCGCTCAGTGACGTCACCACCCGCTCGGATTGCTTCGCCATTGGTCCTTTTTGAACACCTCGCTACTATTGGTCAGTGGTTGAAATCCCGTCAGCCAGTAAGAACGAGCTCTTTCGATCCCCCTGTCCGGGGCGAAGCTCGGCCTGTGCCGCCCCGGGGTCCTCCGGAGCGCCAGCACCGAGTGTGCTCATCGGCAATTTCTTCGGGGGGAAAAAAAAACCAACCACCCCAAACTATAGGAAATTGCAAGGGGGATTGCTACTTTTTTTTTTTTTTTTTTTTTCCCTTCAAGCAGCAGCATACCGTGTCATGAAAATCTGCATTTGTAACAGCCACAACATAGATATTAAAGGAAAAAAAAAATGCAACCAGGGGGACTCTGGAACACAAACACTGAAAATGATACTTCAAATTAATTCTTCTGGCCCTCAGAACATGGTTTCTTTTTCGGTACTTTAAATGAGATAGAAGTTCTGATTTAATTTGTAATGTGAAATAATGTGGATTTCTTTTGAGATGCAATAAATACTGGATGGTAGTGTTTAAGTTGAAACCAAGATAATCCTAGAAATTAATTGTGCTGTTTATTCTGCAGTTTGAATTGTATCATGAACCAGAAATTCCAGCTGGTTTATTGTGAATATGACTTCATTGTATATATAAGAAGAAAGCATTTGTTTCTTTTAATAGACAAAAATTATTTAATGGCATAAGGAATTCTGCTGTTCTGGGGGTTGTTTTTTTTTTTTTAATTAAAAGGCTATGTGTCAATGTTATAAATTACAGTTATAGTGCTCTAATTTACTAAATTAGAGCACTATAACTCATTATACTATGGGAATCAAGTTAATTTGTAGTTGAATGAAGGTAGGACTGGAAAACTGATATCAAATAACCAGTGCTATAATGATTCATTTTGGAAATCTTAAGGACTGTTCAAAGTCTGTACTTTCTGGGTATCAGAGGAGATGGGTGACATGGGCCTGTACAAGAAACTTATCTGGCACAGATGAAAAAAGGTCTCTCACCTTACCCAGCTGATCTTGCTTCTGCTTTTTTTCCCGTTCTACTCGGCTAGGCAGAATTATGGATCCACAAAGATTTCCAGCCTATGTCCAAAAGAGTGCTGTTTGAAAAAAGGGAGGCAAGTAAAGAAAGGGTGGGACCTTTTTCCTTCCTAGTGAGGGAGGCTTGGTTGACAGTGCTTCTGCTGTAGTTACCATCCAGACTGGGGAGACAAAAGCAGTGTTGAAAAGAGCAGCTTTGTGCAACCTCAGTGATGCTGCAGTTATGTTTTATGTCTGTCCTCCCTCCCCAGCCCTGCTCCCTCTCATCCAGAACAGGGAGGGACAGATGTTCATCCATCTCCATTTGCTCTGCTTCCTGCCCAGCAGTCTTTAGCAGCTTCATCAGCTCAGACAAAATCTACTAAGGCAGGAGGGAGCGGAGGCATTAAGAAGAAAGCAACACCACGCAAAACAAATCAACCCACCCAGCTTTTGCAAACCAAACATGCCCATAGTTATGTTAGTCCTTTAAAGTGTGTGGATTGGTTCCAACAAAAATGACAGTTGATCCAAGACTCAGAAATTCTCGGTTTTAATAAGTTTTGTAATGATCAGTTACAGCATTTAGAGAATTCCAGATTAAAGCCTCCACCGTGGAAAGGAGGCAACTGTGAATCCAAAAACTACCCCTTCATTTTATCCTTCCAGTTAAAATACCTTTTCAAACAAACAAATAAACCCTCCAGACCCCTAAACCAACAGCCTATTAGTAACTGAAGGCCAATAATTTGTGGTGTAGTGTAGTTGTGTGTGCTGCCCCTTCATAAAGAGATAAAACTGAAGAGTGCTGAAGGAAAAATAACTTGGGAAGGGAGTTGAAAAAGGGTTAGAAATTATTTATATAAGGAATTCAAGGTTTTGGAAAGAACTGATTGTGGAAATCTTATCAGTTATAGCAGAAGAGTGGAGTTTATTGCACTGTTTAGGCAGAATATCTGGGGAATTAATCTAGACAGTCAAATTTCTCTCAATAGTCTAAAAAACATGTTCACAAAAGGGAATAGCTGATACCTGTTAACACTCTATCCCACCCATTATCCATCTCACTTCAATAAGAATGGAGTTTCCAGTGACTGACCAAAGCTTTGGAGCACTCAAATAATCATGTGGAATCAGGAAACCTAAGTGTGAAGGGAGGGAACAGAGAAAAGGTTTCATCAACAGCTCTAGAACAACTAAAAGATGTCAGAGCTTGATGGAGTCACCAGCTTATCTTGTGTTACAAAACTGTATGAACCGTGGGACTCTGTCTTATTCCCCTGGATGGTGTATCTCCTCCATGTGAACATGTGCTACAGGCTGACAGTTTTCTTCCAGCTGGAAGTGTCTAGGAGGCAACAGCATGTCATAAAGGCAAACCTACTTTAGTCTTTTGCCAATGCAGCTCCTGAGTGAGCCTTACATAGAAGAGTCAGAAAGTTGTATATTATCTCGGGCTTACAGAGTATAGCTGTGAAAAGCAGAGTACACCCGAAAACCAAACCAACAGAGAATATTAACCAAAGTAAAAAAGCAACAACAAAAATGTAGACTTTTAAGCATAGTGGGATAAACAATGGAAATTTAGATTGATTTCTGAACATAATTTCATTTTGGTCTGTTGTATTCTTCTGTGTGGAACACAGGGAAAAGAACCAAGATGAACTCCCAGAAAAAGTTAAAGAACAGCTAGACCATCAGCAGGAGACATTTAGCACATAGCATCAGGGATAATTACAAATATATTGATGGTAAGGCACAGCTCTCTAGTGGTTCTGATTATTTGGGAAGATTTCTAAAGTCCGTGATGAACCTCAGAATCACATTTGAGAAGCTGGGTTGCCTAATTGTCTTTATGCTTCATACCTTGCAGTCTATAGCTGCAAGTTTTCTAGTTTTCTAAATTGTTGAATGTTGCTATCATCTGAAAACCTTCTATCTCCTTGCAGGGACATATAATATATGGATCATATATATATACAGCATAAAGTAACTGTACTGAAAAAAAGACAAGGCACAGAAAAAGAATAAAGAAGGGGAGGAAGTCAACATGCATTTTCAAAAATCAAAGAATAACATCTGGACACTTGACTACTGAAGATGATTAAGATGATGCAACTAATTAAAACGTTGTGTCCTTCCTTCCCTGTGAATGCACCTGTAGAACTATAATAAATAATAAATGCTGCTTTGTGTTCAAAAAGTTGTATTATGTGAAGAAAAAAAAAAAACCAGCAAAAGAGCTAGTTTAATATGCATCAAATAAACAGTAAGAGTATGAAAATGATCAAACACATGCCACAACTTTAAAAGAACTTGAAGCGATACAGGTTTTTCGTGGGTACAGACAAAGGACACAAACCAATTCCTTTATCAGGACGTCAGTCTCATAAACACAAGGACGCGTGATCGTTAAGTTGCAAACGCGGGGCACGCACAAGACTTTCCTACCGCCCTCAAGGAAAAAACCAAACACCCCCCCACACACACCTTACTAACTTTTCTGAGCTTTCGGTAGAAAAGAGTGGGTTTCCTGCAGTACCGGGCCCACCACGCCCGCCTCTCTTCGCTTCCCGGCCGGGCCCTTTGTTGGGGCTCAGAGCGATGGCGCCGAGTGCGGGCGGGACGCGGCGGCAGTGGCCCCGCGGCCACAATTGGCCGGATTTCGCTGTAGGTACGCGGTCGGCGAGACCCCGCTCCCCCTCGGCCCCGAGAGCGCGGACGGCGGCGCCGGGAAGCCGGGCCTTGTGCTGCAGGCACGGGGTGACCCCGCCCCCCCGGCTCCGCGGCCCCCAGCCGTCAATGGGAGCGGTGGCACGAACGTCCCGCCCCGTCCCTGCCCCGCTGCAGTCCCCAACCAGGTCGGACCGACGGCAATATACAGCACTCTGGGGGTGGCTCCCGCCGCACAGCGCTTGGGCCTGAGGGAGAGATACTATGTCTGGCAGAGGCAAGGGCGGGAAGGGGCTCGGCAAGGGCGGCGCCAAGCGCCACCGCAAGGTGCTGCGCGACAACATCCAGGGCATCACCAAGCCCGCCATCCGCCGCCTGGCTCGGCGCGGCGGCGTCAAGCGCATCTCGGGGCTCATCTACGAGGAGACGCGCGGCGTGCTGAAGGTGTTCCTGGAGAACGTGATCCGCGACGCCGTCACCTACACCGAGCACGCCAAGAGGAAGACGGTCACTGCCATGGACGTGGTCTACGCCCTTAAGCGCCAGGGACGTACCCTCTACGGCTTCGGCGGCTAAACTCAAAAAAGTCACAAAAAATTACACCAATAAAACCACCAAGGCTCTTTTCAGAGCCACCCACAAATTTCACAACGAGAGCTGTTAATTGCTGATTATTGAGCTAAGGTTGTGGTAGACCGTTAGTGTGAAAATAACCCTGGTCGTGGGCTTAAAAAATCTGCAGTGCGGTACAAAATATAATCTCCAAAAGTCTAGAAAAAGCGGCCAAATATTAAACCCGGTGTGCTAAGATGGGAGGCGTTACGTAATTTACCTAGTAAACGTAAACTCCGTGCAGCAATTATTGCGTGCTTACATAATTTTGCTATTTAAAGCAGTACTGCCTTAACGGTAAGAGCAAAGCTCAACAACGGTACAAATGCAGCGCCTGAGCTGTGACGCTCACAGAAAGGAAGTGCCTACAATTACGTTGGTATTTTTTACTCCAATAGAAATGCAACGATTTCAATCCCCTAATTTGCATAACGCCGTTATAAATAGGGGGGGGCAGGCGCCATTTTCGATGTTGTTGAGCTACAGCGAAGAGCTTGCAAAAAAACATTAGCGATGCCTGAGCCGGCGAAGTCTGCTCCAGCACCCAAAAAGGGCTCAAAGAAGGCTGTCACCAAAACGCAGAAGAAGGGTGACAAGAAACGGAAGAGAGCAAGGAAGGAGAGCTACTCCATCTACGTGTACAAGGTGCTGAAGCAGGTGCACCCCGACACGGGCATCTCGTCCAAAGCCATGAGTATCATGAACTCCTTCGTCAACGACATCTTCGAGCGCATCGCCGGCGAGGCGTCTCGCCTGGCGCACTACAACAAGCGCTCCACCATCACGTCGCGGGAGATCCAGACGGCCGTGCGGCTGCTGCTGCCCGGCGAGCTGGCCAAGCACGCCGTGTCCGAGGGCACCAAGGCTGTCACCAAGTACACCAGCTCCAAGTAGAAGGTTTTTAAATTAACCCAAACGGCTCTTTTAAGAGCCACCACACCTTCCTAAACAGAGCTGTAATTGCCAATACAGTACGGGATTTTCTCTTACGAATTGTGCAAGTTATGCAACGAAATAACGCTCGTTCTGTGAGATCGTATTATCACACAACCGTTGAGTTAGTAACTGTTTATCTGTATCCTTAACCTGTACAGTGATAGACAGCTCTCATTGTGAAATTTGTGGGTGGCTCTGAAAAGAGCCTTGGTGGTTTTACTGGTGTAATTTTTGTGACTTTTTTGAGTTTAGCCGCCGAAGCCGTAGAGGGTGCGTCCCTGGCGCTTAAGAGCGTAGACCACGTCCATGGCAGTCACCGTCTTCCTCTTGGCGTGCTCGGTGTAGGTGACGGCGTCGCGGATCACGTTCTCCAGGAACACCTTCAGCACGCCGCGCGTCTCCTCGTAGATGAGCCCCGAGATGCGCTTGACGCCGCCGCGCCGAGCCAGGCGGCGGATGGCGGGCTTGGTGATGCCCTGGATGTTGTCGCGCAGCACCTTGCGGTGGCGCTTGGCGCCGCCCTTGCCGAGCCCCTTCCCGCCCTTGCCTCTGCCAGACATGACAACAACTCCAACAATCTCTCTCTGACATGGTAGGGTTCCTGGAGCCTCACTTTTATTTTCCTGGAGCCGACCTGGTTGGGGACTGCGGCGGGAGGCGGGGTCTCGACCGCAGTCCCCGCCCCCTGCCGGCCTTCCCGCGCTTCGGCGGCCCAGGCTCTTTCCCGGCCTGGGCTCGCAGGCGCGCGCGGCGGTTCCGCCTCTCCCGGGCTGGGCCGATCCCGCCCCGCCCTTCCCGCAGCGGGGGCCGCGCTGCCCCTGCCCGCTGTCAGCCCGCTCGTCCCTTTGCTGCTTTCCTGTCCCGTCCCGGCCTCGCCCCTGCGCGGGTGACACTTCCGCGGCCGCGCTGGGTCTCCGCCGGTACCAGGAGCGGGGGCTGCGGCGCTCCCTTCCCCGTCCCTCCCCGCGGGTCTGCGGCAAAATCCGACCAATGCAGGGCCACGCTCGGCGCTCCCGCCCTGGCGCTGCTCTCCGCCCTTTTATCCTGGCGTGTGCTTGTGCTTTGGACACTTTAAGTGTTGCTTTTTAATTTTTTTGTTATTAATATTCGCCTTCATAGAGACCTTCCTCTGGCATGTTTATATAATCTCAGCCCTGTCCTCCTCAACCCCCAGCTTCTTTCTGTTACTAAGTTCTACTCAGTTACTGCTACTAAGTTAAATACCTGAGTTAAGTAAGTCTGTTACTAAGTCCTGCTTGAAAGGGGAGGGGGAGGAAACCTTCAAGCCTCATGGTAAGAACAGGGAAGGGTTTTGTTTGTTTGTGTTTTTTTTTCTTTGTGTTTGTTTTTAGTGCAATCTAGAACTTCCTTCCTGTGGATTTAAACGTGAGAAGTTCTGTGGTTTTGCCTTGTTTGTTTCTTTGGGGTTTGGCTGGTTGTTTGTTTGTTTCCCTCGCAGCGCATTCACGCACACACATGAAAACACGTCCATATTTTTCTGTCATACCCTTTAGCCATCAAGCATATTTTTGGCCGTTTCCACGATAGCTGAGAGCCTAAAGAATTCTTCTAAGAGGATAGACAGTTAAGGAAGGCACCACAGGTTACAACAGCGTTTTCTGGGAATACTTCCTACTGGGGAAGTATGAGACTCTGCATCTTCATGGAAATAAAAGCCTATTACAATTCTCTATTACATTAATATTTGATTTATCCCTTGCTAAACACGTGCCATTTAAAATAGGAATGCGACTCATATTTTTAGCTGTCAGTACTAAAATACATATAATTGTTCTACCGTTATGAATTTTCCTGGATTAAGGTAGGCTTGCTCAAACTAATAAACTTTATTTCCTGACACAGATACTATTACACTAATTTATACTGAGATTAAACAAAATTTCAAAATTTAAAAAAACAATGTTTGCTGCATTTTCCCTTTCATCTTTTTAATGGTACAATTTTCCACAAACTTTTATTGAATAGAGTAATATTGAAATAACCATAAATAAGTCTTCAAAAAGTGTGAAAATGAGAATTTTCTAAAGAACTTTTTAGGGACTTTGTTTTGATGTGATTTCTGTTTTAATTTGCATTTAGTCTTCATATTCTGCAAACTCAAAGCATTATGAAATATAAGCATTATAAAACATTTTCACTGACATAATTTTGTGTAAGTTCTTTGAAAAAGACAAGAAAAAAAGAGAAGTGCTTCAGCAAAAACAACCCCACCTCCCTGCATCCTTCTTCTTTATTAAACATAATGCCTCACACATTTCAGGGTAAGAAATTTACCTAGTTCTTTTCCTTTACCTTCCCTCCCTTACCCCCTCAAAAGTGTAGTAGATGCATGTGCAAAAAGGAATTCACTATCTTTTTACAAGATAGATAGATTTGTCTAAGATACTTTTTCTGAACACAGAAACATAAGACAATAGGTTTGGTTTCAGTTAATTTTGTTAGGGTTTGTTTTGTTTGTTTGCTTGTTTGCTTGCTAGCTGTTGTTATCTTTTAAGTTTTTTTCCCATTCCCCTCTTCACCAAATAACTTTGTTCAAAACTCTTCAGCCTTCTCTATGAAACTGTGAAAATCTACTGACAGAATCTATTTTATCACTTAGGCAACTGCCTATTTTGGAACTGTGACTACAGCATTTAGGGATGCATCATGGTGCATTTGATTTTTATTTTTCCCTAATATGAGGCCCTCTTTGCTTTTCTGCTTAGTCACATTCCTATAAACTCAATTAGTCAATCTTCTATTTGATTCCTACATCTAATCTAGAGTCTTCTACAACAGCGATTGATCCATTAACATGTGTGTGTCATCCTCCAGTCAGATAAGACTCTTACACTAAGAAAGAAAAAGCAATTATCAACTCCAAAACAGAAACCAGAACGTTAAGTAAAAGCATCATCAGGACTGATGGATAAACAAGTCACAGAAAGATATGTAAGAGGAGAAGGAATACAATACGATCCTTTTTGCAACAGCAAAAAACTGGGTGGAGCCTCGGGGAGAGTCTGAGAGCTGTGTGGTTTCAGATGCCAATTCAATATGTTGAGGTCTGAACATGGGGATATGGGTGAGAGTGTCCGTCCTATATGGGGTAGTAGTTGAGTTCTGAATCTATACTGGAACAGCTAGGTGAATTAGTAGGGACTTTAAACTGTACTTTTAGTTAAATGGTTAATAAAAAGTAATTCTTAGACATGACTTATGATGTGTTAAAAACAAAACAAAACAAAAAAAAACCCCAAGTAATCAAACCATCCCCACCTCCAAAACTCTTGAGGATAAAAAGTATTACTATTTGAAAGTGTTCTGAAAATACAACATATAGAAGACCTTGTAAAATACTGGGTATTTTGAAATACTTCTAAAGGAATCTTAGAGCCATTCATTTCAGAACCGTTAAGCTAGATAAATCTTATGAGGATAAGTTAAAAGCTCCCTGTTCTTCCTGTTTAAAGATCCTGAAGTTACAGATCTCTGAAAATGTATAATGTCTGCATATACATGTGCACACACACACAACAGTTCAGTCCTCACAGCACTCAATCAGTATTGACTACTACACATTAGACTGGCTGTTCATTTTATTTCTGCCTAGACTGTACTTGTGCTGCTGCAAGATGAACTCAAACTCTGCACACACTTTCCTAAATAATCAGCAAAACAGCAAGAATTGGCAATGTTGCTGCCTGTTAAAATTTTCAGGCATTGGATGCAGAGGTGAGGTGACACATCTGGTTTAGTGAAATTTCTGGATTATACTGGCCAAGACTGAGAACATCAAAGCAACACCGGAGTGACAAATGCTGGCAATCCCCTACGTTTTCTTTGGTGTGTGTATAATTACCACTCTTAGACTTTTAAAATTATTTTTCCTTGAAGTGGACTAGCCCGTATCTGCGTAAATGATCTTCATTTTTTTCCTGAATATGTTCCTTTTTCCTAAAAACAAAACAACAACAATAATCTGTCACGTGACTCTACCTGGCAGAATGGATGGGAAGATCAAAATTGGCCCAAATAAGGAAAATAACATTCAATTTCAACAACTAGCACCATACTTCATTTAGGAGAAGGGGATGGAGGGGTAGATGGGAGAAAGCTCCCATAATGTTTTATTTCACAATATAACTAAGTTGAATTTCAAGGAGAATTGTGCATTGCTTAGAAGTACTTTAATGTCAGTGTGACAATGATTTAGGCAATGAGCTTTTTGATTACAGCAAAGCATACAGAAATTCTCAAACTCTACTTATCATTGCATTGGTGCACTGGAGATCAAA